GCCCCGTCCCCGTCAGCAACCTGGCAGCTCTATTTTGCACCAATTGAAGTGTTCGGACTGTCTTCAGGGGAAGCCCCACGTAAAGCGCGTTACAGAAGTCTAGGCGGGAAGTCACCAGCGCGTGTGTCACCGTCGCCAGGCAATCGTATTCCAGGTAGGGGCGCAGCTGATTAATCAGCCGAAGCTGAAGGAAGGCGTTCCTCGCTACCGCTGTCACCTGAGCTTCCAAAGAAAGCTCCGGGTCGAGGAGTACACCTAAGCTGCGGACCTTATCCCTAAGAGGGAGTGTTGCACCATTCAGGACCAGGTCAAATCCACCCTCTCCAAAACCCGATCCGCCAACCAACAGGACCTCCGTCTTGTCTGGGTTGAGTTTCAGTTTATTCAGTTTTTATCCCATTCTGCCTTGGAAAATACTTCAGGAGCAGCTTACATGCAATCAGCAAAAGAGGACAGTCTGTGCCAGTGGATTTGCAATCTACAAAGGCACATCATAAAAGGAAAGAGGAATGCGAAGGGGAAGGAATTAAGTTGGCTTTTCAGCAGGACTAACCCTACCTCAACTCTCATTTTCTTCCATCCAGCATAGGAATTGACTGTGGAGCTCTCCCTGGCAGGGATGCGTGCTGTGCTAAACCAGCACTCTTCTTACACTTCCCCCTTGCTGTCCCTGTTTTCATTCCCAGCATATTACAATCCTGTATATAGCACAGATTGAATCTTTTAATTCCCTAGTGATGGCTAATGTCACTTCTCCACTCTCTTTTTTACCCTAGCGTTTCCTTGCCTCCTGGTGGCAGAAGAGAGAGATTCTCCAAACCCCCATGAAAAAAGGTAGAATCCAGGGTTTTGCACTGTATCCCCATTTCCAAAAAGTCTTACTTTTTCAAAATCGACTCTTACTTTGCAAGATACATAGTGTAGTTGTGTGTGTGTGTGCGCACGCGCGCGCACACACACACACACACACAGTTGAGTGCCACTTTAGGGAATAAGCAAACCTATGCAAGGAGAGTATTCTCAGCTTGCAAGGATCACACCTTAAATTAGACCGACATGGAGAACAGACAATATAGACATTTGAAGGGCTGTCACATACATTTGGTTTTGGTTGCTGTAGGGATTAGGACCTGAAGCAATTGGATTAAATTCCAGGAAAGGGGATTTTGACTCAGTATTAGGATCAGTGGAATTAACTGTCTCAGAAGGCAGTAAATGCTCCCTCATGAGAGTTTTTAAGCAGCATTGGGACAGCCAGTATGGTATAATGGTTAAGAGCTTGGGTCTGGGACTTAAGTGATCTGGGTTCTACACCCCACTTGGGCATGGAGGCAGTTGGGTAGCTTTGGGCCAGTCACAGACTCTCTTCCCAACCTGCCTCACAGGGTCATTGATGTGGGGATAAGATTGAGAGCAGGAGGAAGAGAATGATATAAGCTGTTTTGAGTTCTTTTGTGGCAAGTTCTTAAAGAGATGGGAGTACCAGGCCATCTTATTTGTCTCTTGAGAAACCTATATGCAGGTCAAAAAGCAACAGTGGGAACTGGAAATGGAACTACTGATTGGTTCAAAATTGGGAAAGGAATATGGAAAGGCTGTATATTGCCCCCCCCCCCCCCCCACCACCTATTTAACTTATATGCAGAGCACTTCATGTGAAAGGCCGGGCTAGATGAATCACCAGTTGGAATTAAGATTGCTGGGAGAAATATCAACAACCTCAGATATGCAGATGATACTACTTTAATGGCAGAAAGTGAAGAGGAACTGAAGAGCCTCTAGATGCAGGTGAAAGAGGAGAGCACTAAAGTTGGCTTTGAACTCAGCATCAATAAAACAAAGATCATGGTATCTGGTACTATCACTTCCTGGCAAATAGATGCCAGGCAAATAGAAATGGAGATAGTGACAGATTTTATTTCTTTGGGCTCCAAGATCACTGCAGATGGTGACTGCACTCAAGAATTAAAAGATGCTTACTCCTTGGAAGGAAAACTATGGCAAATCTAGACAATATATGAAAAAGCAGAGACATTACCCTGCCAGTGAAAGTGCGTATAGTCAAGGCTATGGTTTTCCCAGTCGCAATGTATGGTTGTGAAAGCTGGACCATAGGGAAGGCTGAGCGCCGAAGAATTGAGGCCTTTGAATTGTGGTGCTGGAGGAGACTCCTGCGAGTCCCTTGGACTGCAAGGAAATCAAACCAGTCAGTCCTAGAGGAGATCAACCCTGACTGCTATTTCGAAGGCCAGATACTGAAGATGAAACTAAAATACTTGGCCACCTAATGAGAAGGAAGGACTCCCTGGAGAAGAGCCTAATGCTGGGAACAATAGATGGCAAAAGAAGAAGGGGGCGGCAGAGAATGAGGTGGCTGGATGGGGTCACTGGGGCAGTCGGTGTGAGCTTAGGTGGACTCCTGGTGATGGTGGAGGACAGGAGAACCTGGAGGAATGTTGTCCATGGGGTCACGATGGGTTGGGCACGACTATCCCCTACACCCCTCTATTTTGTGGCAACATCTTTGTAGTCTAAAAAATGTAATTAACATGCAATTTAGGACACAATCTGATGCATGTTGAGAAAAAAAAGTCCCACAACACCTGAATGAGGCATCTATGGGATTGTGGGAACCTGTTTGTTTAAAGATACCCTAGGATGGCACCTTAAGATTATCTAGAAGATTACTTGAAAATGGAAAGCAGTAGAACATTTTTCTGCTGAAAGATGCAAAGGATGGTGCCTTAAAATTATTTAAGTGATGTTTAATAATTATTTTAGACCACAAGAGCATTACAGAACAATAGAGGAAAAGAGGAGGTGGAGGAAAAGAACGAGAAAAGTCTGCAATATGATGGGATCGTATTAATTAATTAATTAAGAGCTTTTCTGCTCCATCCACCACTAGCATCTTGGGATGGCTTACAATAAAAACAAGTAGAATAAAACAGAACACCACAGCATCCAACAACTGAAATACTAAAACCCCAGTTAAAATCAATTAAACATTAAAATGAGAGGAAAAGCGGTTTTGCCAGACACCAAAAAAACTCCCCCATTATTTAAAATGAACATTGTTTTTCGTAAGACCAAGGTGTTTAGCAATTAAAGAGTATTTTTTAAAGAAAGGATATCAAAAGCAATGAATAGATGAAGCTGTGATTGGGCGTAAACACATCAAATGTGCCAAAAGCCTGAACTGAAGCAACCTCCTTTGTGGTCTCAATTTTTAATTAAAATTGCTTAAATGATTGCAATGTTTTTCCTATGCATATGTACGTCCTGACAGAGACGTCCCGACAGAGCCCTGCGAATCGCTGGTGGGCCGTGCTGCTACTGGCCCCTTGTTGGTCTGGCACTCAGTTAACACTTGGGGAGACTCAGCCCGTCTTGCCCTGACGCGCCACTGCTGGGACCGGAGATCGCAAACGCTGGCCTGCCACGTACTTTCAGACCCCACAACTCAATCTCACCTGCTCGCCCTCTCTCTCGGCCTCCCCTTGCCCTAGCAGGAATTCCTCCACAGCAGCCACGGCCTGGGAGCAGCTCTGTAGCCCAGCCGCCCTCACCCAGCTCCGCATCTCCGGCGGCAGGACGGCCAGGAACTGCTCCAGGACCAGCAGATCGAGAATCTGCTCCGTGGAGCGCCGCTCGGCCTTCAGCCACCGGCAGCACAGCTCCCAGAGTCTCCAAGAAGCCCCCCTCGGCCCCTCGGCTTCCCGATAGCAGAAATGCCTGAAGCGCAGGCGGTTCTCCTCTCTGAGGATGGCGTCCTCTCACAAAATGGCCTCCAGCACCTTCCCATAATCCTCCCTGTCTCTGGCCTCCAGGCTCCGAAAGGCCTGCTCGGCTTCTCCGCTGAAGGCCGGCAGGAGCTGGGCTGCCCACTCTTCTCTGGGCCACCGACAGGCCTTGGCCACTTGCTCGAAGGAGGCCAGGAAGGCCTTGGCGTCACCCCATGGGAAATCAACCCTGACTAGTCTTTAGAAGGCCACATACTGAAGATGAAACTCAAATACTTTGGCTACCTAATGAGAAGGAAGGACTCACTGGAGAAGACCCTGATGCTGGGAACAATTGACGGTGTTATGCAAAAAGCAGCGAAAATACTTCTCCTCAAGTTAAATAACCAAGACTAGCATCAGAGTGAGGCGATTCCTTCGTTTATTGCAATAGACGGAGAGAGCCGCTCTCTCAGAATCTCTCCAAAGTACAAACACACAAAACATCCCCTTTTAACCCTCAACCCATCCGCCACAGTCCTCCTCCTTTCCCTCATTGGGTAAGGGACTAGGGGGTTACAGTCTTTCCATCTGCCCACTTCGTATCTCCCATCTCATCCCACTACATACATCTACATATGTGCATTATAATTAGCCCATTGTCTATTCAAGGTGTGTGAGTTAATATTCATCAGCCTATTACGCCTGTGTGTTCATAACTACAAGTTCACTAGTTCACTCCTTTCTGGCTTCACCTTGCCCTTCCACCCCGTCTCATAAAACTAATGGGAGTATGAGATGGAAAGTAGCCTTCCTTCTTCAACCCAATTATCTTTTTCTCCCCTCCACATTCCTTCAGACTGGCTTCATGACTTGGTTGTTTGCCTCACTGTTTCTCAATCACGGAGTTACTTCCTTCAATGGCAAAAGGAGAAGGGGACGGCGGAGGACGAGGTGGCTGGATGGAGTCACTGGGGCAGTGGGTATGAGCTTGGGTGGATGCCAAGGGATGGTGGAGGACAGGAGAGTCTGGAGGAATGTCCTCTATGTGGTTGTGATGGGTCGGGCACAACTTTGCAACTAACAACAACCACAAAAATCAACAACCACAGATATGCAGATGATACCACTCTAATGGCAGAAAGTGAAGAGGAACTAAAGAGCCTCTTGATGCGGGTGAAGGAGGAGAGCGCAAAAGTTGGCTTGAAACTCAACATTAAGAAAACTAAGATCATGGCATCCAGTCCTCTCACTTCCTGGCAAATAGATGGGGAAGAAATGGAGGTAGTGACAGATTTTATCTACCTGTGCCTAGAATCTGAAGGGAAATAATTTGACCACTGCATGCTGTTTTGTGTGTAGACTGAGCCTGTGGGTAGTTTCTTTCACCCTGTTATGTCAACAACAACCCTGCAAGGTGGGTAAGGGCTGAAACAGAGTGGTTAGCCCAAAGCCATCCAATGGGCTTCACAGCTGCATGGGATTATCATGGAGATTATTATTTATTTAATTTCTATACTGCCCCATGGCCAAAACTCTCTGGGTGGCTTGAACTCTGCTTCTCCGTAGTCAAAGTCCCACCGTCTGACTATCGCACCCCATTGGTTAGCTTTAGGCTTTCTCTGCGTTCCTCTTACAGCCCTCTATTGTTTTTGTATTTCATCATTTGTTATTTATGTGTTATTCGATCCTGCTTTTTCCTCTTCCCAGGAACCGCAGGCCGCCTTGAGGCCTTGGCAATAAATCTGGGCTAAAAAAGAGATGTCAAAATAGGCCTTCTTGCAGGGGCCGGTGACCTTTGAAGAAGTGGCCGTCTATTTCACGGAGGAGGAGTGGGTCCTGCTGGAGCCGAGCCAGCGGGCCTTGTACAGGGAGATCATGCTGGAGAATTACTGGAATGTGGCCGCGCTGTGGGGTAAGGAGTCCCTTTCCTTGTCCAGTGGAAGGGAGGGGCAAAGAAGCAAGAAGGATGCTTGCTTAGAGCCTCTGGCTACGGGGTGGCATATGAATGCAAATACAAAGTGCAAATGCAGTGCTTCCTCAGGAGAGAAACTGAGTTAAAACTTACTTGCTTCCCCAAACAAATAGCTTTAAAAGAAAAACATGAAAGAGCACAGAATGGTTATAAAAAAAAAGATCCTTGGAGCATGATGCGTTTAAAGTAAATATCGAGTAAGATCAGAGTTACATGCCTGCGGTGGGGCGGAGTGGGGAGGCCAGAGGGGTTGCTGCAAATACAGATGCTCATGGTGACACTATGTACAGCCATGCGTCATGGAGGATTGTCCAAAGAATTCAGGCAGCCAAGGCACAGAGGAGGTATGGCCCCTCTCTGTTTGCCGTGGGGCAGCCCCACTCATTCAGAGGGGTGGAGTAGGCCAGGCCCTCCCTCCAGGGGGACACCTAGCAGGGGGTGGATCCAGGGTGCCAGTGGTCATGGCTTCATGTAGAACAGGGCAGGCATAATTGTGTGTGTTTGCTTGAAGGCTTTGTTATGTCGAACAGTGAGATGTTTCAGCCTGCACTAAGCTGGATCCATTCCTAAGGCCTTGTTGCAACGAGATGTCAGGTTGTCTCCAACGTATGGCAACTCTGGAGATGAAAGTTCCCCAGAACGTCCTGGCCTTAACAACCTTGCTCAGCACTTCTGCGCTCAAGGCTGTGGCTTCCTGGATGGCATCCATCCACCTTGTGTTTGGTCTTCCTCTTTTTCTGCCTTGGACTGTCCCAAGCAGGAGTGCCTTCTCCAGGGAGCCTGGCCTTCTCAGGATGTGCCCAAAGTAGGACAGCCTCAGTTTTGTCCGTTTTGCTTCCAGGCCAAGTTCTGGCTTGATTCACTCTCTGTCTTCCTGACAGCTCCCTGACAGAGGACTTTCCTGTACTGTGAACCACACAGGTTGCAAGAGTGCCCTTTAAGCATGAAAATGTGATGGCCATCAAGTTGGGTTGCTGTGGACCCTCCTCCAAAGACTTTAGGAGAAGCTCTGTGTCAGATGAGTGTCTCAGATTCCTCCTGAGCACTTCCTTGCCTTCTTTTCCCCAAGAGGGATTTCCACCTCACAAACCTCCCCTCATCTCCCAGCTGGAGCACTGGGACGACCCACTGGAACCAGGCCTTCGTGGATCAGGGGAAATAGGCTCTCACACCAACCCAGGTAAGGTAATGGAGTGCCTCTCTGTGCATAAACCTTTGCCCCTTTTCTGTCTCCAACTGCCCCCTCCAGGGGAGGCTCAGAAAGCAGCAATAAGGGAGGAGGCCTTCTTGGTGGTGGTCCCTTCAATTATGGAACAGTCTCTCTGACAAGGTCTGTCTGCTGTCAGCAGTGTTACCTTTTGGAACCAAGTTAATGCCAGTGTGGTGTCGTGGTTAAGAGCATGGGACTGGGACTCAGACGATCTGGGTTCTAGTCCCCGCTCAGCCATGGGGCCAACTGGGTGACTTTGGGCCAGTCACACACTCTCAGCCCAACCTACCTCACAGGGTTGTTGTTGTGGGGAGAAGATGGAGGAGGAGAATGATGTAAGCTGCCTTGAGCCCTTTGTAGGAAAAAGGCAGGATACAAATAGATAAATAAATACATAAAAATAATGTATCCTCCTTCTTCGTCATTTGGCACTCTGTGATGAGGGCCTTCATCAGGCCTTGAATTTTTTCTTGTTAATTGTTTCAAATTGTTTTTTGATATCTGTGTGTCTCTCTGCATCTTGTTTTTATATGTTAGCATGTAAATAGTTTCATTATCATGTGCTTTTAATCATAGAATCAGAATAGTAGAGTGGGAAGGGGCCAAAAGGCCATCAGGTCCAACCCTCTGCTCAGGGCAGGACTCCCAGTTAAACCATCCCTTTCAGATGGCTGTCCAGTTGCATCCTGGAGGCCTCCAGTGTGGGAGAGCCCACCACCCCCTTGGGCTATGGGTCCCACTGTCCTACTGCTCCAACAGTCAGGAAGTTCTTCCTGATGTCCACCCAGAATCTGTAACGGCTTCCTGTAACCCGTTATTCCGTGTCCTGCACTCTGGCAAGATCGAGAAGAGATCTTGGCAACAGTCTGTCACAAACTCGTAGAGTGCTGTCTTACTGCCCCTCAGTTTCCCCTTCTCCTTAAGCTTTGCAAACGGCCCCCTCCTGCCAGACAGTTTGGGCTATTGGGCAAAAAATATATAATAAAGGAAATGAGATGATAATCCCACTGATCGATGCGATGTTGCACTTCATTACGTTGGGCAACCCATTTATCACCTTTCCTCCTTGGAGCTCAGGAGTGTGTGTGTGGTTCTCCTCTGCTTTGATCTTCACAACAACCCTGTGAAGTAGGTTAGACTGGGCAAGAAAGTTAGTGGCCCAAGTTCACTCCTCCTCCTCCTCCGTTGCATTTATATCTGGCCTTTTTTCTCTTGCGGAATACAGTAGTATGTTGTAAGCCGCCCCGAGGCTTCGGCAAATGGGGCGGCATAAAAATGTCTTAATAAAATAAATAAATAGTGGGACCGATTTGTAATAAATAAAAGTACAATTGTACTACAAACACATTTGTCATTGTTATTGTGTATGTATGTACATATTTATTTATTTTAAAACATTTTTATCCCGTCCTTGCTGATAAAATGTCTCAGGACGACTTAAAATAATCAAAAACAGTAATAATAATAAAATTACAATCAATAATAATAATACAATAATTAAAACAAAGTACAAAGCAATACATAAATAACATTCATAATTCTGCAAAACTAAAGAAAGAAAATTCGACTGTAATCTTAAAACATCTAAAATCCTTAATTCTTAAAATGATGGTTGAATAAAATGGTTTTTACCTGGCGCCAAACAGAGCATAAAGTCGGCGCCAGGCAAGCCTCTCTGGGGAGTGTATTTCACAATCTGGACGCCACTGCAGAGAAGGCTCTCCTCCGGGTAGACACCCTCTTTACCTCCTTCAAGGAGGGTTCCTGGAGTAAGGCCTCTCCTGTTGATTGTAAGGGGCATGAGGGCATATAGGGAAGGGAATGTAAGCCGCACTGAAGACCTGCTGTGGTAGTACAACACAGACCCCTTCTCTCTCTCCATCTGTAATGCTCCAATGCATTGTGGGAATTCTCTGGGCAACCCACTTGAGGGAGCCAACTTAGCCAGACAACTTTCTGTTGTCGTGGAATGTTTGCTTCAACCTGTTGTTCATCCCATAACCAGCCAAGGGCTGGCCAACCCTTTTAGTACAGAATTTAGTCTTTGCTGGTGCTGAATTTTTTTCCTGTGGGATTAGGGTTGAGCACTTGAGTCCACCCAGCTCTGCTTATAATTCTGTGACTAATCCGGCAGGTATCCCTCAGCTGCCGGCCAATGACGATGATTGCAGTCCAGTAGAAAGACCAAAGTCAATATCCCTGGAAGAGGCCAATTGTTTCTGTAGTCTGAACTTAACTGTACATGAGAGATCTCACACAGCAGACAAACCCTACCAGTGCTCCAGCTGTGGGAAAGCCTTTGTTCAGAAAGCATACCTCATTACACATCAAAGAACCCACACTGGAAAGAGACCATATCAATGCCTTGAGTGTGGAAAGAGCTACCCACGGAAAACGTCCCTTGCTGTACATCAGAAAACCATGCAGGAGAGACCGACTCATGCCCTGTATGTAAGAAGAGCTCCAGGTACAAAAATAGCTTGAGTAAGCACAAAAAGAAGATGCATGAGAGAATCCATACGGGGAGAAAACCTATCAGAAAACCCATCTGCAGCAAAACCTTCCGTTGGAGACAAAGCTTCATTTTGCATGAAAGAGCACACACGGGAGAGAAGCCCTATAAATGCCCAGAATGTGGGAAAAGCTTCTTGAGCCCTGTGTCCCTTATTGTTCATAAGAGAATCCACACAGGAGAGAGACCCTTTCAGTGCTCAGTCTGTGGCAAAAGCTTCAATTGGTGACAGAGCTTCATTTTGCATGGAAGAGCGCACATGGGAGAGAAGCCCTATAAATGCCCAGAATGTGGGAAAAGCTTCTTGAGCCCCGTGTCCCTTATTGTTCATAAGAGAATCCACACAGGAGAGAGACCCTTTCAGTGCTCAGTTTGTGGCAAAAGCTTCAATTGGCGACAGAGCTTCATTTTGCATGGAAGAGCACACATGGGAGAGACACCCTACAGATGCCTAGAATGTGGGAAAAGCTTTGTGTGCCAGGTGTCACTTATAGTTCACATGAGAATCCACACAGGAGAGAAGCCGTACCAGTGCTCTGAGTGCAGGAAGAGCTTCCGCTGTAAGCAGAGACTGATTTTGCATCAAAGAGCCCACATGGGAGAGAAACCCTATCAGTGTCCAGAATGTGGGAAATGCTTTGTGAACTGAGTGTCCCTTATCTTTCACCAGAGAATCCACACAGGGGAGAGGCCCTGTCAGTGTTCTGAGTGTGGGAAAAGTTTCATTAACAAACAAGCCCTCAGTAAACATAAGGCCATCCACACAGGGGAGAGAAGAAATTTGTGCACTGTGTGTGGAAGGAGGTTCTCTCAAAAAGGAAATCTGATGCGACACATGAAAATCCACACAGGAGAGAAACCCTATGCCTGCCCCACCTGTGGGAAAAGTTTCATCCGGAAAGTATGTCTTACTGAGCACGAGGCAAGCCACAGGGAAGAGAAACCGTACGTCTGCCCTGAGTGTGGGAAAATATTCAAACGGAAAAGAGGGTTTCTCACCCATGTGAGAATGCATGGAGAAGCCATAAGAATCCCTGAAGAAGGCCATTAATGGCACAGAGTCCCTTCTTATGAACACAAAGACCCTGAACAAAGAGAAATGCCATCCATGCTCGGCATGTGGCAAGAGCTTCCACTCAAAGTGTCACCTTATTGCGCACCAGAGGACCCACACGGGAGAGAAGCCATACCAGTGCACAGAGTGTAGGAAAAGCTTCAGCCAACAGTCCTCCCTTAATACACACCAGAGAGTCCACACAGGAGAGAAGCCGTCGTTATATACGGAATGCGGCAAAAGCTTCCCTAATACAAGCAACCTGGCGAGACACCAGAGGATCCACACTGGGGAAAAACTGTTCACGTGTCCAGAGTGTGGAAAAAGCTTCAATCAGAAAGCCTCCCTGGAGGCCCACAAGGCAACCCACAGCAAAGAAAACCCCTTCTCCTGCCCAGACTGTGGGAAAACCTTCAAGCTGAAAGTGTCGCTCTGTACCCACCAGAGAACGCACACAGGAGAGAAACCCTATGAATGCTCTCAGTGTGGGAAAAGATTTATTAGATGTTCGCAGCTTCGAAGACACAAAAAGACACACAAAGGTAAACAGCAGTATTGAGAGGAAACCCCTTGTGGCCTTAGTTTTTTTCTTAGTAATCTTTAAAAAATAAGGCTGCAGATTCTCCATTTTAGGAGGTGAGTTTGCTTGCGAAGGGAAAGTCTAAAATCACCTACCATGAGAGCCAGTGTGGTGGTTCAAATGTTGGAGTGGGGAACCAGGAGATCTTGGTCATGAAGTTTCCTGGGTGACTTTGGGCCAGGCATAAAGTCTCAGCCCAACCTACCTCACAGGGTTGTTGTGAGGGTAAAATGGAGTTATGTAAGCCATCTCAAGTTTCTCACAGGAGGAAAAATAAGGGAATATCCATGACATGTGATGATGATGATGATACTGTGGGAAAGGGTGTGACCCAGGCTCAAGCTTGGGGTAGGAAAAGGCTTTTCTTGAATGTGCCATAATACAAATATTGGGAAGATGCAATAGTCTAAGTGTTGCCAAGAATGTAAGACGAGTTCTTTTGATCAGGCCAAACTCCTGCCTAGTCCAGCATTCTGCTTATACCGCGGCCAACCAGCCACCCATGGAAAAACCAAAAGTAGGACATGCATTCAGTCACTCCGTTTACATATCACAACCTGTAGTCCAATTTAGGCTCTCTGGGTGACTTTCTGGACAGGATATCAGCAACACCCTCCCACCCATATTCCCCAGTGACTGGTGCACACAGGCATAGTGCCTCTGACTGGAGGTAGCCCATGGCCATGAGGACTAGTAGCCATGGACGGCCTTGTCCTTCATGAATTTGGCTGGCTCCTGGTGGACTATTCCACAATAAAACCAACAATAAATAAATTCCACAAAAGAATATAATATACACATCTCCATAGGTTCAACTAAAAATTGTATAGGTATAGTAGCATAAAATCAATCCATCTGGAAGATAGAACAGTCTTTGCCCAGCACTGAAATGCTAGTAATGAAGGTGCCAGGCAAGCTTCTTTAGGGAGCCTATTCCAGAGATGGGGGGCAACCAGAAGCCCTCCTTCTGTTTGCCCTCATTCTCCTCTCTTTCAGAAGGCCCTCTGGCCCAGATCTTAGCAGACAGGTAGGCAGATTTTCAGGTATCCTGGTTCTAAGCCATTTAGGACTTTATATGTCAATACAAGCACTTTAAATTGGGCCTCAATTTAAGTTGAGCTTAACTGGTGCCAGTGCAGGTGGTATAAAATCTTTTGCCAGTAGCTGCACAGCCCTATTTTGAACCAGTTGAAATTTCTCGACTTGTCTTCAAGGCAGCCCCATGATGAGTGCATTATACTAGTCCAATCGGGATGTTACCAGAGCATGGATAACTGTAACCAGGCTCCGTCTGTCCAGGTAGGCCGTAGTAGATATATCAATCGCAACTGAAGGAAGCTGAAATTGGATTTGCTGCTCCTGTTGAAAGAAGCTCAACACCTCTGAGTTAAAGGAAGCAAAACTCTGACTTTTATGAGGGGCCAAATTGATTTGAAAGTTTAATTTTTTAATGTGTTCTCTCTGTTTCTCTTTTTGGCAGGGGGTAGGAGTGATGTTTTCTCTTATTTTAGCAACCTAAATTTTAATGAAGAAAAAATGGTTATTCGTTTTTTCCCCTTGACAAACTTAGGTGCCGTGGATCAACTGTTTCTTCGGATCGATCATAGTAGCAGTCCATGAAAGAAGACATATGGTGTGAGATCTTCCATATTTTAATATCACTCCAGAAAGGTCCATGAAACAGTGGCATTCTTCAGTTGTTCTTATAACAGCAGAAAAGAAAAGTTTGCCAAACTAAATAAGGAAATGAAGCTTGGTTTGTCCCTTAGCAAGCCAAATTTGGTGTGCCGGATTCTTGGATCGAGTTCTCACAGGAGACTGTTTCTATTAGAAAGGGCCTAAAGTCAATAGATTCCCAGGGTTTAGTTGCTAGCAGTCGAGCCATTTAGATTGTGAAGGTACATTCTGGCATGCTTCACAAACACTTGTCTTGAAAAGGACTCCATAAAGGAGCACCTCTGCCAGGGAGCCTGGCCTTCTCTTGATGTGCCCAAAGAATAGAATCATAGAGTTGGAAGGGGCCAGAGGGCCAGAGGGTCCAAGCCTCTGCTCAGCACAGGACACCCAGTCAAATCATCCCTCTCAGATGGCTATTTGGCTGCATCTTGAATGCTTCCAGAGTGGGAGAGCCCATGACCTTCCTGGGTCATGGCTTCCTTTGCCGTACTGCTCTAACAGTCAGGAAATTTTTCTTGGTATCTAGCCAGGATTTGGATTCCTGCAACTTGAGCCCCTTACTCCATGTCCTTCACTCTAGGATGATCGAGAAGAGAGCTTATCCTTCCTCGTCGTGACAGCTTTTTGAGTACCTGTAGAGTGCTATCCTATCTCCCCTCAGTCTTCCCTTCTCAGGGCTAAACATGCCCAGTTCTTTCAATCTCTCCTCGTAGGACTTTGCTTCAAGTCCCCAGATCATCCTTTGGCCTCCTCTGAACTCCTCTGGCAGCCTCAGTTGTCTTATTTTTGCTTCCTGGGAAAGTTCTGGCTTGACTTGATCTGAGACCCCCTTCTTCATCTTTCCATCGGTCCAGGGTATTCACCAAGCTCTCCTCCCACACCACATTTTCAAACACATCCGTTTTCTTCCGGCCAGCTTTCTTCCCTGTCCAGCTTTTACACCCATGCATAATGATTGGGAATACCAGAATTATCTTGGCCTTGGTCCACAGTGAACGAAACCTATTCTTAGCATATGCATTTAAGTCATAGCCCCATCATGACAACGGGATTAAAATGGGCTTGCAACAGCAGCGGGTTGGATCCAGTGGCCTTCTGGCCCCTTCCAACCCTACTGTGATTCTAGGGTTTGCCTTTGCTGCCCTCCTCACCTGCCACCCTCCAAGTGGTTATCGGGGTGGCTTGGGGGCTATAGGGCCCTACACTTTGGCCCCAGTTTGCAACCTGAGCTGCAGCACCAATGTGATATCTTTTCCTGTAAACAAAATATACACACTTCTGAAATGTGTACACACAAAGTCTGCTTTGCTGCATAGCCTTTGTCTACACACACACACACAACCTCTGAACATCCAGTCTTCATGATTTCACCCTGGGGTGGGGCGAAATTCCCAAAAGATCCTTGAATCAGGCCCTCAGGACAAAAGATGCTCAAATTTGCACTTGCAAATGTGGAAAATATGCTCTAAAGTCTTTAGACCTCTCTGCAGGTTTGTTTTCAGGATTCTGTCTCCTAAGGGCACCCTGTGTGTATGGGCAGGAGAGAGGATTTCGGGGGGAAACTTCCAGCAGAAACAGGGTGGAGAAGCAAGAAGGGAAGCTCATGGGGGCAAAGATCCAGCCCGCCTGGGGGAGCTGAAGCCCCGAAACTTCCTTTCCACAAGTGCCACTGGACAGCAGGAGGGAGGTGGGGCAGGAGGACTTACAGGGATTCGGGGGTCCAGCCTCTGCCTCTGTTCAGTGCTGGGGGGAAGGGAAGAATGCCGGGAAGAACTACAATTCCCAGACACCTTTGCAGCAAAGGAGGAAGAAAGCGGGAGGGTGCGGCCGTAAGACGAATCTCAGCCGGTCTTGGACTTGCCAGGCTGCGCGGCTGATTCCTTGCAGAGCAGAGACTGGGACACAAAGGCGGGCCTGGGGTAAGCGGGTGCCCTTGTCTGGATGGGTCAGGGACAAGGACCGCGCCGGCGGATCTGATGGATAAGCCGAAGGGATGCTGGAGAAGGTGCGCGCATGCGCGCATTTTGGGCGATGAGCGCGATCTGCGGTTGCCAACTTTTCCTCCCGGCCAGTGCTCCTCTGCCTTTAGCGGAAGGCAGATGGCCTGTTAGACGGTGATGAGTGCTGCTACTGTGCTTTTCATTAAGAATATCGGCTCTAGGGTGTGGTGTAGTGGTGAAGACTGGGACTGGGACTCAGATGATCTGGGTTCTAGTCCCCGCTCAGCCATGGAGCCAACTGGGTGACCTTGGGCCAGTCACAGACTCTCAGCCCAGCCTACCTCACAGGGTTGTTGTTGTGGGGATAAGATGGAGGAGGAGATGTAAGCTGCCTTGAGCCCTTTGTAGGAAAAAGGCAGGATATAAATAGAAAAATAAATAAAAATAAATAGGGCAGTATAGAGAAGAAATAAAATACATATTACAGTATTATGGTTATTATGCATCTCTATTTATACACTGTCTTCCTTCTTCTTCCAAGGAACCCAAAGCAAAGTTGGCCTCTTCTCTATTTTATCCTCACAACAATCCTGTGAGGTAGGTTAAGCTGAGAGTCCCAAAATCACCCTGTGAGCTTCCTGGCCGAGTGGGAACTAGAATGTGGATCGCCTGAGTCCCAGTCCAGCTATCTAACCATTATGCAAAACTGCCTCTTATTATTCTTATTCTGAAGACTTCCCTTGCAGTTTTCCAAAGATTTTAAAACCACATGAGCAAGCTAGATTTTTTTTTTTTTAACCATCCTCCGGGTCAATCTAGCAACATTGCCCCAGCCTTGAAAGGGGAACAGATTAGTTGTTTCAAGATCTGACAGCCAGATCTTGAATTTCAGGATAATCTGTTCAGAAGTGGAGACTTCTTGGTTTGGCAGTTTAGCGATAATAAAGGCACAATCCTTAGACGAGACAGAAGCCCTGCAAGTCCCATGGATGCCCACTGGGGGTTACAGCATATTCTGCGAGCTGGCTGGGCTATGCAGGAAATCGTGTGACTTTTTTCTATTTAAACATCCTTAGAGTTGCACCTTAAATGTGTAAATTTTTAAGGTGATGCAAATCTCTTTAAAATTAGAATTGATTGTTGGAGCTGGAGGAATGAGCTGAAAGAAGAGCCACATTTTGAACTTCATCTCCTCTAGTTTTCTTTTTCGAAGAAGAGAGAAGATGCAAAAACAATCCGCATTTCCATTCCCAACAACAACATGGCTTACTACCCTCGTCCTTTATCCCTACCAGCTGCTTATGCATATGGATCAGCTAATTTGAAGTTAGTGCTTCATACATCAGCTGAAGTCAACATTGCTTACATCAGAATAAATGTCTTAGTGTTTAAGCTTCTACAAGACTCTTCGTTGTTTTCACTGAAAATATTTTATTGTAGGGTTGGATCAAGAATCTGCCTTTTACTCCCTCTCTTCAGCTCACCCCATCCAGCAAAGTCTCCTGACGGTTTGGCCTGGGTCTCCCATCAGGACAACCCAGAGTATGAATTCAGTATGGGCACTAATGGAATTGTGGGTTGTCATGACATGCAAACACTGCACTATGGTTTAACTTGGATTGTAACCACAGTCAAGCCAGGAAGTGTGGTTTGTTGTGGGTTGTGCACTCTGGGTTGTTCCTGGTGAACAGACTATGGTGTAATTATAGAGCAGGTGTTCTGCATAAGGACAACTCATCCTTCAGTGGCGACACCTAGACAACCTACTTAATCCGCACTGCGTGTTGATATTATTTGCAGACTAAGTCTCTGCCACTTTTTCAGGGGGCTGCAGTTGAAAGGAGCAGGTGAAGAAATCCATCGGGGTAAGAACAGCTGATCCAGTGGAAGCCTGGATTCAACCCTATCGTCATCATCAAGATTATTATGGAGATTAATATCCACCAGCCTTTGGAGTGATGACTCTACAATATTTATTTATTTATTTAAAAAGTTCTATGCCGCCCCATTCGCCGAAGCCTCGGGGCAGCTTACAAAACATCAGTTAAAATATAAAACACTAGAAATATAAAAGACGTTAACATTATAACATGAGAGGCAATGTGGTGTAGTGGTTAAGAGGGTGGGACTGGGATTCAGGCGATCTGGGTTCTCATCCCCATGGGCGAGCTTTGGGTCAGTCACAGACTCTCAGCCCAGCCTACCTTACAGGGTTGTTGTTGTGGGGATAAGATTGAGAGCAGGAGGAGAATGATATAAGCTGCACTGAGTTCTTTGTAAGAAGAAATCAGGCTAGGAATCAAATAAATAATTCAAAGAAGTAAAACCGCAACAACATGGCAGAATATAAGCTATATAATAATATAGATTAACAACAATAGGTAAACATACATTTTATACTGGAGTATTTCTCTTCCAGAGTCCCTGAAAAGATCCTCAGTTGTTGGGATGCAGATCTGTTTTCTTTCTGTTTCTGACCCTCCTTTTCTGTGTTGCCCGTCTTGTAGCAGCACCCGGAGCAGAATGGCATCCTCCGTTCCCCTTGCACCGTCCCCTTCTTTCGAGACCCTGGGAAGCGCTGCAGCAAAGCCAGCTCAGGTAAGAGGTTCTCCGGAAGCTGCCGATCTGCAGCGGGAAGAGATGCACCCACCTGCCCTGCAGGGTGGGCTAAACCAACGTGCCGTTTCGTCCGTGCCGCATCCGTAGTCCCACAGCTCCTCCGAGAGGGACGGAGGGAGCCTCTTCCCCTCTGGAAATGGCTGGGATCCCCCACCAAGCAGTGGGCGGGGCCAGAGGCAACAGTGGGCGGGCCTGAAGCAGGCAGGTTCCAAAGTAGGCGGGGCTGAAACTAGGCTGAGGGCCACATGAGATCCTCTGGCCGCAGGTTCCTCACCCCTGACCCGGGGGGGGGGGCGGTGAATCTCTGCTGTGATTGGTGGATCCTGATTTGTATTAAAAAGCATAGTGGCTAGTGAGGTTTTCTATGACCCTTTTCGCACCTGCTCCCATGAAGTTAAACTTAGGAGAACTTCCAACGATGTCAATGCAAGAGTTAAGGATGGGGAAAAACCGTGCCAAAGGGGGAAAGATTTGGACATGCATGTTGGAAAGGTTAACCCTTCCTAGCTCAGCTGCACTTGAAAAGTGTCCCTTGTGTGACAGCGAAGCTGAGGGAAAACCTTCTCTGGAGCCCAGTGCATCCTTGCCGGAGGTCAGCTGTTCTTCCTGAATTGGATTCAGAGGACAGAACTACACCAGTTGGGGAAGGCAGAAGCTTTAACTGGGGAGTGCAATACTGAGTTTGATGGCCCAGTAGCTGTTGGGAACCTCTCAAAGAATGACAATGGACGGACCCTGGAGCCCGGCAAACAGAACCCTGCACAGTTCAGAACTGTGCCGGTCATTGCATTGCCAGGACTTACATACTGTTTAGATTATAATGAATTACCTTTAATTCCTGCAGAGTCAAATGATTCTTCATTTAAACAGAGGAACCCAAAGTGACTTCCAGAAACCTGTCTGTTTTATCAGCACAACAACCCTGTGAGGTAGCTTAGCCTGGGAGTCAGTGACTGGCCTAACCACCGCACCGCACTGTCCTTTGGCTCCAAAGAGGCTGTTGAGAGCTGTGCATCCCAAAAAGAGGAAGCCCCGAGATTCTAGCTTCCTGTTCAGTT